TCCTCCTCCTCCTCTTCCTCCTCCTCCTCCTCCTCCTCCTCCGCCCTTTCAACATCAACTCCCTTCCCTCAGATCACTACTGCGAGACACCAGCTTGAAGTTGAACACCTTCAGGAAGACAACCTCCTCCTCGTCGTCGTCGTCGTCGTCCTCCTACTCCTCCTCCTGAGCATCATCGTCCGTTCGCTGTCCAACGGCCCAGGTCTCCAGCGGCACGAGCGGGGATAGAAAAAGCACCCATCGTCTGTCCGCCGTCCGACGGCCCAGCTCTCCAGCGGCACGAGCGCTGCTCGTTCGCCCTCTCCTTCCTCACCGAGCGTGTGGCACGGGCGCGCGCCGCGCGGAGGAGAGGGCGGGTGAGCGGCAGACTCCCGCCAGCGGGCGCCTGGGTGGGCGCCGACCACCCCTCGGCGGCGGAAGGCCTCCTCCCCTCGCCGGGGCGCAGGAGCAGCGGAGGCCCAGGCCAGGGGAGCACACGACGACTCGCCATCGCTCGGGCTTCCCTTCCCCATGTGTTCCTTCGATCTCGTCGTGCGCCCCTCTGCTTCGCGAGATGGTCCACGATGCTCCTCGACCGTCCTCGCCAAGACAATGACATGAGCACAAACTTTGGGATGCCCGCGCGGACTTCTCGGACCGGCGCTGGGGCCCCCTGTCGGCGCCTCTAGCGCCGCCCCTGGCGCGCTCGGCGCGCAAGGGATGGGGGGTTCAGCGCCGATCTGACAAATCCGCGCGGACCTCCGAAAGTTGATGTTTGTGTCATTGTTCATTCCTCGAAGGTTCGGGCGCACGCTGACATGGACTAGGGCTCCGTGGATCCGGCGCGAAGCATGAGGCCAACGCCGCCTGATTCGCGACAGACCGCGCCGATTCTGTATGGAAATGGGACCTGCCGCTCCACCCACGCGCCTTAATCCATGTTTGCGCTTCCTCGACACATGAGCGACGAAAAGAAGCGGGTCTTACGTGCGATGACATAGCGACCTTAGGCGGTGGCTTGCGCGAGCCGCCAGCGCGGCAAGCCACGCTGGAAGCGAGGGCGCTTACGCGCGACCTTGCGCGAGCAGCTTACACGCCAATGTCGGCGCAGTCGAGCATGTCGTTTTTTTGGCGTCGCTCACATGAGGTTTCCCGAATAGCGCATCTCTAAAACGAATTCCGATAGTGATGGAAAAACTGGGCACAAAAGAGTCCCACAAAGGGCGGCCACGTTGCTGGCTACGTTTCGGCTCCAGGGTCCACACGACGGTGCTCTCACCCAAGCCTCGACCGGCCGCCGTTGCACCTCTGCTGCTACCAAACATGTTCTGATGGGGTAACTTTCAAAACCCTGGGCGTTCTCGGGGGTCACCAGGTCCACGGGGGGCTTTCCATCCTGACCCGTCGGAACGGGCGTCATAGAGGCCTCCTGGATGAGGTCGTAGGAGATGGGGTCGGAGGATCGCGCCGCATCGGCGATGCATCGGCGATGCATCGGGGATGCACCGGCGACGTCGGGATGCATCGGCGACGTCGACGTGAAGCAAAGCCGGCCCTACATCGAGCTGGATCGGCGATGCATCGGCGATGCGGTGCGATCCTCCGACCCCATCTATGAAGGGGCCCACAAGCATACAAATAAATACACACAAACAACGGGATCCCCAATATTTTCCCATGTTTTCTGGGCTTTCGTCTCCCCCCCCACTTCCCATATTTTCGAGGGAATCGACGATTACTCATTGTGCCTGTGTGTGTGTGTGTTTTCCCCCCCTCCCGAATCCAGGAGGCCTAGAGGTCCGCGGGGGACTTGTCAGTCTGCGCCGCTCCGTGGGGCCACAGGGCCAGGACGAGGAGCTCCTGGCCTTTGGCCCTCGGGGGGGCCGCTCCCGGGCCCGCGGGGGGCAATCAAAGATGGATCCAGGACGAGAGACGCCCCCCCCGGAGGAGGAGGGGAGGAGGGGAGGAGAGGAGGAAGGGAGGAGGAGGGAGGAGGGAGGAGGAGGAGAGGAGGGAGGAGGAGGAGGGAAGGAAGGAGAGGAGGGAGGAGGAGGAGAGGAGAGAGGAGAGGAGGAGGGAGAGAGGGAGGAGGAGGAGGAGGGGGGGAGGGAGGGGAGGAGGAGGAGGAACAACATTGGGGCGGAACCTCTTCGCGGTTTTCGGCCTCTGGTGGCCCTGGCCGCAACCCACCCGGGACCGTCGGCAAACGACTCGGGATGGAGAGCTAGTCCCGTGGAGCGGGGCCCAGACCCCTGCGGAACCATGCTGAGGAGTCACGACGCCAAATGTCTCAGAAGGGGGCCGCGGTTCGAGCAAGCCAGCCGCGGTTCAAGCCTCAGCTGTGAGGGCGGTGAAGGCCGCCCCGCCCGACCCGGTTCCGCGCGGGGTGGCGGAGGGCCCATCCCTCAATTTTTTTTTCCCAACCATCCTGGGGTGTTGGGTCCTCGTTTTGACGAGACAGCGCCCCGCGTCTCCTTCCCTCCGGCTGCCCTCCCCCTGCTCCCTCCTCATCGTCATCGTCACCATCCTCACTCCCACCCATCCTGTGGTGTTGGTCCTCGCTTGTCTCCACCATCCTGTGGTGTTGCGTCCCGCGCCACCCAGAACGGGGTTTCGTGGCCCCATACGGAGCTCCACCGAAGGCCCCACTGGCTGTGATCACATGCGTCCCGCGCCACCCGGTACGGCGTTTCGTGGAGCCATGGGGAGCCCCACCGACGGCCCCAGTGGCTATGATCACATGCGTCCCGCGCCACCCAGTACGGCGTGTCGTTGCCCCACAGGGAGCTCCACCGAAGGCCCCACTGGCTGCGATCACATGCGTCTCCACCCGCCCATTTCGGCATACGCCTCACGCGTTTCGTGGCCCCATAGGGAGCTCCACCGAAGGCCCTAGTGGCGACGTTCGCATGGCGGCCCCGCTCCGTTTCGGCACACCCCTCACACGTTTCGTGACCCCACATGGAGCGCCACCAGAGGCCTCAATGGCTGCGCCCGCATGCGTCCCCGCCCCATGTCGGCACACCCTTGACACGCTTCGTGGCCCCATAAGGAGATCCACCGCAGGCGATACCCACGACGGCGATACTCACAACTGCCTATGGTTGGGCCCTTTGCCAGGACACTCTTTGGGTTGTTTTGATTTTTATCCCCCCGACCCACGCGCGTCTTCCCTGGATCTCACCCCCACCGGCCGCGCCGCCGCCCGCCGCGGCCCGCCGGCCGCCCGCCGCGCTGGCCGCCCCAGCGCGGCGTGGAGGATGGATCCGACTCGGGCTGGCCAGTTGCGGTGGGAGCTTCAGGCGTGCGGGCGAAGATGCGCGGCAGCATCGCAATATCTGTGGCAGCTTCCCCACTCAAGTGGATTCTTGTTTGCAGCCCATGGCCTGTAGAGTACCCCCACCAAGTATCAATGCTCTGGCCATCCTGGAACTTTGATCTATATGCGCAGGCGGTGAAAGACCTGGGCCCATCTTCGTAGGGATATATATATATATATACACATATATATATATGTGTGTATATAGGTACACACATCTAATTATATATATTTATATCAAGCGAGCAACTCTGGTTTCAAACATAAGCTCCCTTCGTGCCGTTACCCGCCCCATCCCCCTGGCTGGCGCACACATGGAAGAGGAGGGGGGAGAGGACGGGGGAGGAGAAGGAGGAGGAAGGAGGAGTAGGAGGAGAAGGAGGAGAAGCGGGAGCAGGAGGAGGAGGAAGAAGAAGAGGAGGAAGAGGAGGAGGAGGAGAAGAAGGCGGAGGAGAAGGATGAGGAGGAGGAGGAGGAACAGGAGCAGGAGGAGGATGAGGAAGAGGAGAAGGAGGAGGAGGAGGAGGAGGAGGAGGAGGAGGAGGATTATATGATTGTGATGATGCTGCTGCTGATGCTGATGATGCTGATGCTGATGATAATGATGCTGCTGACGATGATGCTGATGATGCGGGTGATGATGGTAACGCTATAAAGATGAGGATGATGACGATGACTGTGACGGTGGCGGTACCGATGCTGCTGCTGATGGTGATAATGAAGATGATGCTGATGCTGATGATGAGGATGATGGCTATGATGATGCTGACGCTTACGACGATGATGATTATGATGATGTTGATGCTGATGATGCCGACGATTATGATGACAATGCAGAGGAATCTGATGATGAGGATGATGAGGAAAATGAGGAGGAGAGGAAGAGGCGGAGTAGGAAATAAAAAAAGGGGGAGGAGGAGACACAGGAGGAGGAGAAGGAAGAGGAGGAGGAGAAGGAGGCGGAGGAGGATGAGGAGGTGGAGGACGAGGAGGATCATGAGGAGGATGATGAGGAAGAGAACGAGGAGGAGGAGGAGGGGGAGGAGGAGGAGGAGGAGGAGGAGGAGGAGGAGGAGGAGGAGGAGGAGGAGGAGGAGGAGGGGGAGGGGGAGGGGGAGGACGATGAGGAACACCTTTTCCTGCGAGGGCTTCCAGATTTCTTGCTTTATCCGCCACCGTGCCGCTGGGCACGGAGTGGGCGTGTCCTCGGGTCCTTTGCCCAGTCCCTTGAGCAATCCCGAGGGGCCTTGACAAGGCCCGGAGCCCCAATTGACAAATCTTGGGCTTTCCGCGTGCTCCCTGGGGCTTCTCGCGTAACTTTTTCGGGCCCAAGAGGGGCACGAGGCGGTCCAAGAGGGCCTCAAGAGGCCCCCAAGACGGTCCAGTAGGGCCCCGAGTCGCCGAACCATCGCGCCACGATGCCCAAGATGGTCCCAAGACGGTTCAAGAAGAAGCCTCCAAGACGCCCCAAGAGAGCCTCAAGAGCCTTCCCAAGAGGGCCCCGAGAGGCCAAACTCACTGATGGGTCCTCGATTTTTCGAGCTCCCGACGCTCCAAGACGGCCCAAGAGGCCCCCAGGACCGCCCCAAGAGGCCCCCAAGACGGCCCTTTTCTTCTCAAGTTGGCTCGAGGCGTCTCAAGTTCTGTGCGTGTGAAACTATTTCAGCTGCATCGTGCAGCACTTCGTCGCTTCGGCAGCCAAGGGTCTGACATGCCCCTCCTTGTTCGCCTGTCGGCACAAGGCCCTGTCTTCTCTGTCCAGGGACTCCACAAGGTCGTCGGGGAGAGGCTCTAAAGCCCCCGAACGTAGCATCTCTGTGCATGCGTTGGGGGGGGGATCCCGAGAGGTGACGAATGCAGCGGAAGCGCTGCCGGAAGTCAATCTGGCATACTGGGCAAACGCCGTCCGCTTTGACGTACCTCCTCGCTTCGTTCCTGACGCCGTGAACGGCGCGCTGGTGCTGCACGAGCCCCAACCTAGTTGCGAAGGCTCGCCGGTGTGTCCCTTGGCACATGTCGCAAGCGAAATGGAGCTGCACCCCTTGCGGCGCGGCACAGCTGTCGCAATTGCTCTCTGCGAAATGAATCGCGTCTATGGTATTGTGCCAACTCTGGTCTGGGGTGCAGATCAGATCCAACCACTGCCCTGCTTTCTCGCTGGGGCCACCCAGCTCTGAACACCGGCTGCTCAATTTCTGCACGGTGACAAGGTCTTCAAGCACCATCCGCGTATATGGCATCGTTTCCCGCTGCGCGTCGACGACAGTAACGCCAGCAGCTGCGTTCTGTCCGAGAGGAGAAGCCTCCGCAGGTACCGCAGTCTAGCCTGCGTTGCTGATCAATCTGTGGATGCTGCTCCTGAAGATTGCCTCACTTGCAGGTCTGTGCCCTGCCCAGGACCAAACCGTACCTTATCCACGATGCGTCTCAACACTCTCATGCAAACTTAGTTCAACGTGCGCACGAAATGCGCGTCTGGCGTGACAGCGTGCGCATGGAACATCAGTTTGGTCAGCACGCACGCCTTTAAGGCATACGGCCCCAGAGGCGCCCAAGACATCCCCAATGGCCCCAAAGACAGCCACAAGAAAGGCCCAAGAGTGGGAGCACGAACCGAACATCCGAATCTTCTGCCCCAAGAGGCCCCTAGGAGGCCACACGGAAGCCCAATAGGCCCCCAAGAGGCCGCAAGAGACCCCCAAGAGACCCCGAAGACGCCCAAATTAGCCCAAGAACGGCCACCAAGAGGCTTCAAAACGGCCCCCAAGAAGCCTCCGAGAGGCTTCCCGCGACATCCCACCGAACATCCTAGAGGCCGATGGCCCACAACTCAGGCACGGTGGCGGGATGGGCCGACGGCCATTATATCCGCCGCCCCCTGCTTGCAGGGGTGCACGGCGTGCTGGATGTTTCAGGTTTTGGTTTTGGTTCTTTTTCCAAAAGAACTCCCCAGTGGGCTCCGGCCCGTCCCGCCACCGTGCCCAAAAACGGCCGTTTCGCTCGGGATATCCTCAAAAAATCGCGAAGATGGCCCAAGATGGCCTCCAAGTGCGCCCGAGATGGTCCAAGACGGCCTCCAAGACGGCCCAAGAGAGTCCAAGACGGCCCAGACGGCCCAAGAGGCCTCCAAGAGGTCCTCCAGGAGAGTCCGAAGAGGGCAAAATCATTGATTTTCCCTTGGTTTTTGAAGGATTTTGGCATTTGCGCCTTTTCGGCTCTCCGACGGCTCAAGACGGCCCAAGAAGCCCCCAAGATCGCCCAAGAGGCCCCCAAGAGAGCCCCCTGATGGCCCAAGTGGCCTCCAAGATGGCCCCTAGAGGGCCCCAAGACGGCCCAAGAGGCCTCCAACACGCCCAAGATGGCCTCCAAGACGCCCAAGATGGCCTCCAAGACGGCCCTGGAGCGCCCCAAGAGGGTCCCCCGTTGGCCCAGAAAGGCCCCCAAAACGGCTCCCGACGGCGTCAGACGTGCCAGGAACCCACCAAGATGGCCGAAGTTGGCTCGAAGCTGGCCCAAAAGGGCCCAAGAGGCCCCCAAGAGGGCCTCCAGGAAGGCCAAAAGATGCCAAAATCACTGATTTTCCCAAGGTTTTTGATGGATTTGGGCATTTCCCTTCTTTCGGCCTTCCGACGGCCCGAGACGGCCCAAGAGCCCCCAAAGATCGCCGAAAGATCGCCCAAGAGGCCTCCAAGACGGCGACGATGACCATCAAGACGCCCACGTGTTCCCCGAAGGCTTTCCAAACCGATTCGGGGAACACATGGTCCGATGGCTTGGCAGGTCTGGCCTCAACGTTCGGCCACATAGGCGCTTCCACAAAGGCAGGGGGCGGCGGTGATTCGCCGTAGGCGTCTTCGATCCGCCGCCCCCTTTTGCTTTAGCAAAGGGGTGCCTGGCGTGCCAGACCCTCTCGGTTTTGGTTTTTGTTCTTTTTCCAAAAAAGAACCCCCCCTGGGGCTTCGGCCCGTCCCGCCGGCCACCCGGAAGGCGCTGAATTCCCCAATTTCCTGCCCAAGACGGCTCCCTGAAACGGCCGTTTCGCTCGGGACATCCTCAACAAATCGCGACGATGGCCCAAGATGGCCTCGAAGTCCGCCCAAGATGGTCCAAGACAGCCTCCAAGACGGCCCAAGAGAGTCCAAGACGGCCCAAGAGGCCCCCCAGAGGCCTCCCAGACGGCCCAAGAGGCCTCCAAGAGGTCCTCCAGGAGGGCCCGAAGAGGCCCAAATCATTGATTTTCCCATAGGTTTTTGAAGGATTTTGGAATTTGCTTCTTCTCGGCATTCCGACGGCTCAAGACGGCCCAAGAGGCCCCCAAGATCGCCCAAGAGGCCCCCAAGAGGGCCCCATGACGGCCCAAGTGGCCTCCAAATGGCCCCAAGAGGGCCCCAAGACGGCCCAAGAGGCCTCCAACACGCCCAAGATGGCCTCCAAGACGCCCAAGATGGCCTCCAAAACGCCCCCGGAGCGCCCCAAGAGGGTCCCCCGTTGGCCCAAAAGGCACCCAAAACGGCTCCCGACGGCGTCAGACGTGCCAGGAACCCACCAAGATGGCCGAAGTTGGCTCGAAGCTGGCCCAAGACGGCCCAAGAGGCCCCCAAGAGGGCCTCCAGGAAGGCCAGAAGAGGCCAAAAACATGGATTCCCCTGAGGTTTTTTTTAACGGATTTTGACATCTCCTTCTTTTCGGCCTTCCGACGGCCCGAGACGGCCCAAGAGCCCCCAAAGATCGCCGAAAGATCGCCCAAGAGGCGTCCAAGACGGCCAAGATGACCTTCAAGATGCCCACGTGTTCCCCGAAGGTTTTCCAAACCGATTCGAGGAACACATGGTCCGATGGCTTGGCAGGTCTGGCCTCAACGTTCGGCCACATAGGCGCTTCCAATTATCCCGGCAAAGCAACCTAGCAGCGATGTGTAGGAGCATATCTGGAAGCATTCCCCTTAAGATTCAGATGAGAATCCAGTTGTAGAATTCTGCTGTTCTCGCAGTCGTAGTCGCATTCGCGATGACAGTCGCAGCGGCAACGGCAGTCACAGTCACAGCCTCAGCCTCAGCCTGCCTCAGCCTCAGCCTCAGCCTGCCTCAGCCTCAGCCTGCCTCAGCCTCAGCCTCAGCCTCAGCCTCAGCCTCAGCCTGCTTCAGCCTCAGCCTCAGCCTCAGCCTCCGCCTCAGCCTGCCTCAGCATCAGCCTGCCTCAGCCTCAGCCTCAGCCTGCCTCAGCCTCAGCCTCAGCCTGCTTCAGCCTCAGCCTCAGTCTGCCTTCAGCCTTCAGCCTCTGCCTCAGCCTCAGCCTCAGCCTCAGCCTCAGCCTCAGCCTCAGCTGCCTCAGCCTCAGCATCAGCCTGCCTCAGCATTCAAAATGTGGCCCGGGAATGGAGTTCTGGGAACTCGAAGAACACGAAGTGGCCTACAGTTGGCTCCGGGCATTCAAAATGTGGCCCGGGAATGGAGTTCTGGGAACTCGAAGAGCACGAAGTGGCCTACAGTTGGCTCCGGGCATCCAAAATGTGGCCCGGGAATGGAGTTCTGGGAACTCGAAGAGCACGAAGTGGCCTACAGTTGGCTCCGGGCATCCAAAATGTGGCCCGGGAATGGAGTTCTGGGAATCGAAGAGCACGAAGTGGCCTACAGTTGGCTCCGGGCATCCAAAATGTGGCCCGGGAATGGAGTTCTGGGAAATGGAAGAGCACGAAGTGGCCTACAGTTGCATCCGGCCCTCCAGAATGTGGCCTGGGAATGGAGTTCTGGGAATCGAAGAGCACGAAGTGTGTGACTGTTGGTGAAAAACGAGCTCGGCACAGGCCCGCCCGGCAACTCCCAACACCTGCCCGGACCCCCCTGTGGAGTGATCTGCGAGCTCTTTTGACCCTACTAGAAACCTATCAGTCTTCGCTGTTAGGTAAAAAAGCAGGGAGCGGCGGTGATTCGCCGTAGGCGTCTTCGATAATCCATGGGAGCACTTATTGAACGGTGACGCACGAATAATGTGTCAGAGGCGCAGAAGCAAGGAACAAAGGAGAAATGATCCACACGCAAAACGACAGAGGGAGAGAGGCAGCAAAACCAAGCTAGGAGAAGAGCAGAGGCGGCGGACTGGCGCGAACCAGGAGAAACACATGCGCTCAAGCAATAACCCCAGAACATCATGCAGGATACGACGCAACTGCGATACTAACCGTAACGAGATGACAACTTAAGCCGACCAGGTACGGAATTGAGAAGTATGCTCGATGAGCTGACCTGCTGCGCTATGAAGAAGTATCGGCCAAAAGGTGCGCGACGGCCTGAAATGACGATCCCGCGTGTCATGAGAGAAGGGATTTCGGAACCCACCATATACATTATGCCAAGGGCTTGGATGATTGCCAGAACCCGAATCGACACCTCCCATGAAATCCTGGACGGACCAACTGCAATTCGCAATCCGCAAATCTGGCTTCCATAGAGACCCACCACACGAACAACAACCAAGCCATAAGAGGAAACATGCCTCAGCAATCCACATGCATCTATTGCGCGCCAGTCCTCGTTCGTGAAACCAATATAGATATCAGCGCGCGCCATCGCAACCCGCTCAATACGAGCTTGTGCCGCAACCAATCATTGAGACTGACCGTGATCAACATACTGTTCCACTCCACATTTGGAACTGTGGTGAGAGACCACTTTAGCACCAGGCCGCGCCATCCAGCGGCAGTCCATACCACTGGAATCGAATCTGCGAAGACAAGGGAATGTCGGCACAACAGCTAAGGACCCCCACACCTCAGGCGAACCAGACGAAGCGAACAGACGCTGAGCACCAGAAGCACGAGCCTTCTTGGGCGGCGGCGCACTAGCTGACGTAGAGCTACCACCAACATGAGGTTCCACCACTTTCACCGCCATCGTCATGATCATGTTGCTCGCTCTTGGGACCAGGGCTATGCGGATAGTGTCTATCACCGTCGCTATCACGATTATCACTAATCGACGTCGGCTCCCCGCGACCTGCTGAATCCAGAATTCGACCACCGTCTGCCCATCGAGAGTCCAGAGGCCTCCAACATGGCCTCAAGAGAGCTCCGCGATGGCTCTAAGAGGCCTCCGAGACGCTCCCAGAGCGAAAGATCTGCAAAGACCTTGGTGGTTGGCTCCTGTCATCGTCGTCGTCGTCGTCGTCGTCGTCATCGTCGTCGTCGTGGTCGTCGTCCTCGTCTTCGTCGTCGCGATCGTCATCGTCTTCTTCGTCGTCGTCG